CCGCAAAGGAACACCACGGCAGTGACGGTCGAGTATCCGATCATTTCAGGTTTTAAACTCCTTCACAGAGGAGTACACGTTTCACTAAAAATTATCTCCCAAAACACTGGCGGGGTCCCCGGACAACACAATGCGTGCACGCTCCACGAGCGATATATATTTCTGCCGTTCAGCTGCGCATCACTGTCAGCGAGACCGTTTTCGGAATCTGCTGGTCCAAGTTCCCGCTCAGTTCTCGCGAGGATAAAACAACGATATGTCAGACGCGGTCGACGCTCGGTAACTCGGTGAAAGGCAGGGTGACAATGATGATAGAGCTGGACGTGAATTCGGTAGCGCAGGACACAAACACACACCCTTAAAACTTGCGCAAGCAACACTGCTCCGATACTGGGCTCCCGAGCGCGTGCGCCTAGCTTATATAAACTCGACGCACACCTCCCGACTCTCCTCTCCCCACCAACTTATTGCTATACTCCAATTTCTTCATTAAATGTCTTAAATATTTCAGCTGTTTTTTTCCTTTCATTTACAGGTGTTCGTGGGTTTCAACGTCTACTGGAGAAATGTTATTCTATTAAGACTATTACGAGATTTGACTTGATTGCTCCATTTGCTACATATATTCAAATGCTTTGAAATGAAAAATGAAGATACTAATGGTTTAAGATATGAAAATACATGATTTCTTTTGGAGTAACGTATTTTTCTTGAACATGTGATTATAAGATTACTAATTTGTTTATATACTTTGTTTAAAAATAACAAGTATCAAGACTCCTCGGTAGTATAGTGGTCAGTATCCCCGCCTGTCACGCGGGAGACCGGGGTTCGATTCCCCGCCGGGGAGGTAACTTACATTTTTGCATAATTTTGTTTCACGCGTGTTAATTAATACTTTAATTTATGATGCGGTCGTTATAGGAAAGTGAAAATAGCTGGCTGGTTACTTAGGTAGTTACGGCCTTTCGCACGGCAGGACACCAAGGGTCCAGGCTTACCGTTGCTCTACTCCAATTGAGAGGGTACGAGGTCCTCGAGGATTATCGCATCTGTTCCTTGTTACAAGCTTTTTGATGACTCGGGTTTTACGGATAGAGTTTCAACGATATACCGTCCCTTGTACACGTGTTACGGAGTTGTTTATTATATAAATAGTGGGTCATTTGCGGTTTGGGTTAAGTAGGGACAGCGAGGACTTTGTGCCCCGGCTATATACGGTAGCAGCCGTTTAAAACGATTTACAATCTTTTTAAAGGATTTGGAAAAAGGTCTTATAATGCAATTTTTTGTTCAGAAATCTGTATTGATTTACACAGTCTAAGTTATAGTCTAAATGTTAGATCCTTAAAGAGTATTTCTACTCATGTTCTCGATGAGTACTATTTTTACACCTGTATTAAGGGCTGTAGGAAATAATTAAATCGTACAGAATTTTATAAATTTTGAATAAGATCATAGTATTACCCGTAGTGTGGTATTAATATTGTTTGATTTATTTCATTAATACATAGATAGGCTTATCCGTTTAAATGTCATACGTGTACTGCTATAGCAAGTAACTTTTGCGTCAGAAGAATATATAGGACTAGGAAATAAATACGTTTATTTTACTGCAATAATTTCGTCGCAATAAACATAATCAGAAATTGCCTGATATATAATGTGGTCAACGTAATATAACAAGCATCGGTGGTTCAGTGGTAGAATGCTCGCCTGCCACGCGGGCGGCCCGGGTTCGATTCCCGGCCGATGCAAATTTGTTTTTTTTTCCCTTTTGATTGATGTTTTTTACACTATCAATAGAAATTGTAGTTATGTAGGAAATACTGCCTTATGCACTGGTAATCAACAATCATTTTACTCAGTCATTGATGTAAATACATGGAACAGGATGAGACGTGAGGATTATAAAAGTTATAGAACTATTAAGGTCGAAACAAGTATTTCACTTATAAATTGAGATTTAAATGAGAAACCTTAGAATCATTAAGGTTGCCAGGATCACATTTACGGAGAATTATCTTGTTAAAGAGGTATTCATTGACTTTAATTAATCAATCTGCATAAATTCCGTCTACGTTTGCAAGAAGATTGAGGAAGTATAATGTTGCTGAAAACAATTTTTGTGATGCTTATTGACTTTATTTGATAATGATTGAGATACAATGTAGTTTGCTATTTGGTTCTTTATCATCCACGATAAGGATGTTTCTTGATACCGCTGGCTGGTACGTGGGTAATAAATAACTTCAAAAAATTCGTTATAATCGCAATAATTACTTTCACACAGATAAACGCAGTAATGAAAGCCGATGGTATTTTCTTTATACTGAAATGACTGTACAGTATGGTTAAGTATAAACGTTATTTTAATATTTTATAACATTAGAGTGAACAAACTTTTATTTGGAATGAAGTACAATATTTAAAGTATTCTTTCTCTTGCCCTTTCAATATATAATAACATTGGATAGCGCGAAACGTCGGTTAAAATATTAATTAATCTTTAACAGGATAATTGTTCCTCTTATATCTCGTTACTTCGGGTAAGTAAATATATGTTTACACTGTATTGGACCCTATAACCAACTTCTGTTCCTTACATACTATGCACTCATACAATTCATATAATTGTATAATAGGATAATAATTCAACGCAGTGATTCTCAAACGTGACCAACGCGGTGCAGTTAACTCACAAATGAACTTTACTTGCAGAGCATCAAAGGACGCCTATGGATCGAATTGAGAACCGCTGCTCTACGCTTATGAAGAACAATGGAGCTTATTTTGCAAGATTATTTCCTCGTTGCCTTCATTACGGAATAGCTTAGTCACGGGACAACCGTGTATGAAAAGAATCAGACTATAGCGAGCGTTTGAAAATCATTAATTATTGCATAAGGGAGGCCTTATAATATCCGACAGTTGAATACGTTCACTGCTCGGGTTGTAAATAATGAACACAATTGTGCCCCAGATAAGTATGCTGTATTCTTTGACTCCTGGCATTGACCGTGAAAGCTTAACGTCCTTGATAAAGCCGATAATTCCGAGTTGACTGTAGCTGTGTACAAAGTTCAGAGCTTATAAGCATTTCGCATCATCAAATCGAAGTACGCGTCGTGGTCGATGCTCGCGCTAATAGCACTGTAATAGTTCATGAACTCTTCTTCTGTGACCTGCAATTAACATATAATTACGTTACAGGGCGAACAACGTTGCAGAAGCGTTCGCGGGTTCCTGTTAATGAGAAAAAAATGGATTGTTCTTACGACGCCGTCTCTGGTATTGTTCTGTTCAAAGTTGGCCAAGAACTTGTTCAAAATGCTGTCTTCGCTTTCCTCTCCGCTTATGTAACGCGGATGACATTTCACGTTATACACGCCCCTCAAATCATCGACCGTGATCACGCCGTCCCCGGTCTTGTCTAATTTCTTGAACGCTTGATCCACAACGTTCCTGCGGTTCTGCGACATCGGAGGCTGTACAGGCGAAAATGCTTCGTCATCCGTGCAATTCGATTGAGCGCCACGTCTATTGAAAACTTCGAATTACCCGTATGGCAACGATGAATTCGTCCACGCTGACGTTCCCGTCACCATCGGTGTCGAACTTGTCGAAGATCTCTTTCACCTCGTCGTCGGAAAAGTCTAAACCTGACTCCTCCAAGCCTTTCGTGAACTCCTCGATGTTTAGCTTCTTGTTGCCGTCGTCGTCCATGCGACGGAACGCTCTGTAAAAGAGGCCATGTTAATCGCTTTCTCGAAATTCCCACGGATTATCAGATAATTCAATATATATCAGGTGAAAAGTATTGTCAACTTACCTACCAAGACCGAGGATGCCATTGGCACCTCTGGCCAGGCAGAGCAGGCGTATTTTATCTATAGAATCCGTGGTTGCGTGTATGGCCCGTTGGGCCTTATTTATCATCTCAGTCTCTTGCCTCGTCGTCGCGCTTTGCGGCCTGTTAAAGAACATCCCTGAAAGAGAAACTCGTGCTCCGTTGACTCACCCGGCAAGTATGATTCAGATGTCCAGGCAAGAGATATCGAATGAGGTGAGTTTCAGTATAAGCGATTAAATGAAACAACGCACGCGATTATTTCCTTGTGCAAACTCACAGGAAGTGAGTTCCGCTCGTAATTGGATTTCCAGTTTATTTGGTAGCCAAAAATAAAGTAAGATAACACATTATTGGACCGATTCCAGTGGCAGAGGGGGGATATCGCGGTCTGATATCCATTAATCTAGGATTACTGCAACACTACAATTTGCTTCCGTTTCAAGCCTCCCGGAATACGTCGCGTGTTATGATAGGGAAAAAACATGAGCTTCATTTTATTTCATTGCGAGGTGTGGCTAATTGTTTGGCTTAATTAATTGTACGCGTTTAGCTAATTACATGCGTCGAAGTTAGTTCTAGTATACGGAGTTAGGGTAAAGTATTGGCTTGATTCCAATGTAATTTCTCGTACATCTATCGATTAGAATAATTTGTGTGCGTATCATGCTAGTCTCGGTTAAGCGTAAATTGTTTCATGAATTATTTTGAAATTGACGCATGCGGCTCGAATGGCGCGAATTCTTGTTGCCGAAAGAATAATTTGAACAGCGTATGACATTAATAAGATACGGTAAAATGTTGACTGCGCATATTTTTATCTTATTTTTCTTTTTATTTTTTGATAGTATTAAGTTTGTATTTACTTACCTCGGTTTTAAGGAAGGGAAGTTTAAACCATGCGCGCCAGTTTTGCAGAGAATTATTTATAATAGTAGACAGTGGATAAGGATCAGGAATGGTTCGTGATTACTCTGAAGAAGACCGGAAGGGAAGTGACGGTGCCGAGTTCTTTTAACGCGGCTAGTCGTATTCAATAGGACAACATACAGTGGATCACACGTACGTTGATCGACACCACCCTCACATACGAAAACAAGGTGTGCTCGTTGTGTACATTGTCCATACAATAGTCCGTACAACGTATCCATAACGACCAAATAGTCACAACATGTGTATTGGCAAAAATTTCACGCGTGATCAATTGCCAATACCGATTTCCTATCGGAGGGCTATGTCTCGTATGGCAAAAGTCTTAAGGACTTGCTTACGATGGAACATTCAAGATTAGAAAAGACATCTTTACGACATTGCGAATTCGACTTCTATTGTTTCATGAATGTACAATTGTTTAAAAACTTTACAAATGTCTAACTTTCTATTTCGTGATAGTTACCCCTCACAAAGTACCTTTACGTATACAATTTCTAGATACTTTACAAACTACTGTTTGCGTAGCCTTATAGTGTAAATGTAAATTAAACAGTTCAGACTTTCGATATTCTTGAGGTGTAGTTACAGTGTGCAGCAGTAATATCCGGTCTTTGTTTTTAACGATCTATTTCCTTTACTTATATCTATTGTTATAAGTGATTGTTGAGCTGTAACGCTATATGGACAATAATGTTTTGTTCTTAGCAAAAGCATGTTTCGCCTACAGAAATTAATACATCAGATATGCAAGATATTATTTCTATATAAATTTAATTTAAGTGGAAGAACTTTTATTTCAAATTGTACATGTAGTTACTATTAGCATCTTTGTAAATAAGAAATATTGTACACTTCACATTACAAAGCTTATATGAATCTCATTTTGTTTTAATGTTCAGCCTAATTATGAAAATATATTTTCAAGTGTGAAAATGAGGATAGGTTTATGTACGAATTATATTGGCGGGAAGAAATAATTGACAGTCATTATAATAGGAATTTACATTACCAATGTTTCAGTAGTTAACTTACCATTTCATGGTAATCACAAATATAGCTGAATCGATTTTTTTTTAAACAAACATTTTATATGTACAAACTTATTTACAGTTTAAGTGATTGTATATTATTAAATATAATAAAAATTGATGCAATGTATATTTAACATCAATTTCATTTAAAATAAAGGGAATTAATAAAATAGAAACTTCTAGAATTTCCGAATGCCATGTGTTACGTTTATCCACCAATACGAAGAAGACATTTGGACCGAGCTGTAACCGGCTTATCGTTGATTGGTCGACGTGCATTGCGTGGGTTCATCTGATTGGTGAATGTTGTTGGATTCCTCTTGCTATAACGTAGCGTCGTGGTCAGATTATATGACAGTCGGAGTTGAAACAGCAGAGCAAGGTGTTTAGGTCAGGCTTTTGTGTATTTTCGATTCTTTCCTGCAATTATTTGTGAAGCTTTCATGATAACAATGAAAAAAGCGTTATTGTTCGTAGCAGCCCTGTTCCTTTTAACAGGTACGTTAATTAATATAATAATAGTTACCGAGAAAAGAGTGTTTAAATCTATATATTAATTGTTTAGGGCTAGCTAGTGCTGAAGGTTTGGTTGAGGAAGATGTTGAAACCGTTGAGAACGATTTGGGTGCAAGTCGTGAAGGATCTCGAACAGGTTACATACAATTTTTACGTATTTACAATAGTTTTTCCGTCTATTATTTTTTTGATCTATTTACTTATAGGAAATGTGCATATGGGATCTTATCTTGAAAAGTTATCTAACTTACTTTGAAAAACCATTTTTCTTTAAACTTTTTTTTACTTGTACCAGATGAATGAGGATTACATTTTAAGTTTCAGGTTCAGGAATTCATCAGTTTAGAAATTATGCATATATAAAGTTACCTGATAAATATGAATATAGAATACAAGAGGCAGCTCTAATTTTGATCTTGAAATGCATTGTCAAGGTCATCATTATGAACAACTTTTTCCTGTGACAAGAATGGTGCTTTCTTTTAGTTTTTAAAATAATTGCAAGAAACATATTTTACTTCTATGTTAAATTCTATGTACATAAACATGTTTGTGACATGACAGATATAGTCACACATTGTTAATTTTGATTGTGAATCTTATCAGGCTCAATTACAATAGTTTGATATGTCCTTGCATACATGTTTGCTTAGGTGATAGAGATTAATATGAGTAGGCCTATATCTTATGAAATGGTGATGCAGGGGGCGTAGCCCCTTTTAACCAATGCCCACACTTTTACTTTATAATTCCCAAAAAGCCTATATTGTCATAAAGCCCGTGTAATTGTGAATTAGATCAAATTTTGTCAAAGGAAAAAATGTGCAAAAGGATGACCTTGACAATATATTTCAAGATCATTAAGATTGGAACCGTTTCTCCTATTCTATATACATATTTATCAATTAACTTCATATACATGTAACTTTTAAACTGATGAATTCCTAAACCCGAAACTTAAAATTTAATCTTTATTCATTGAGTATTATTGACGAATATAATAAAAGTTTAAAAGAAAATAATGATTTAAAGTTAAGTTTAACCTTGAATTTGATAAGTGCAGATATAAAATAAATCCACCCATTTTATGGTCACATTCTAACTTAAATAGAGCATTTGATTTATGTTTTGTAACATTAAATACATTGTTCCTAATTAATTTGAAATAATTCTAAGATGAATAAATATTCCACAGATGACCAAGTGATACAGAGAGAAGAAGAAGCTATAAAGTTAGATGGATTAAATGTTGCACAAATGAAAGAACTGAGGGACAAGGCTGAAAAATTTGTGTTCCAAACTGAAGTTAATCGTATAATGAAACTTATTATAAATTCATTGTACCGGAACAAAGACATTTTCCTTAGAGAACTGATATCCAATGCATCTGACGCTCTGGATAAGATTAGGTTGCTGTCCCTAACAGATAAAACTGTTCTAGATAGTAATCCTGAATTAGCGATTAGAATAAAATCAGATAAAGAAAATAAAATATTAAGTATAACTGATTCTGGTATCGGTATGAATAAAAATGACCTGATTAATAATCTTGGAACAATTGCAAAGTCTGGTACTGCTGAATTCTTGGGCAAAATGCAAGAGACATCAAATACTCAGGATTTAAATGATATGATTGGTCAGTTTGGAGTAGGTTTTTATTCCGCTTTCTTAGTCTCGAACACAGTAATCGTTACATCGAAGCATAATGACGAGAAACAGTATATCTGGCAATCTGATAGCTCTAGTTACAGTATTGTAGAGGATCCAAGAGGGGATACGTTAAAGAGAGGAACAACAGTCAGGTACTGAAAATAATATTTTTTATATACGAGTCAAGAATGTGTATTCAATGAAACTAATTTATTTATTATTACAGCCTTCACCTAAAGGATGAAGCATTGGACTTCTTAGAGGAGGATACAATCAGAAATTTAGTAAAGAAATACTCACAATTCATTAATTTCCCTATATATCTGTGGAGCAGTAAAGTTATTCAAGTTGATGAAGAAGAAGAGGAAGATGAAGAGAAACCAGTAAAGGAAGATGAAAGTAAAAAGGATGCACCTGAAGATAAAGTACTAGATGAAGAAGACGATGCAAAGGTTGAGGATGCTGAAGAAGAAAAGAAAACTAAGAAAGTTGATAAAACTGTCTGGGATTGGGAGTTGCTAAACGACTCTAAACCTATATGGACATTGAAACCATCAGAAGTTGAAGAGAAAGATTACAATGACTTCTACAAAGCATTAACAAAAGATACTCAAGATCCATTAGCAAAGATTCATTTTGTTGCAGAGGGTGAGGTCACCTTCAAATCACTTCTTTTTATTCCCAAAGTTCAACCTGGCGATAGCTTCAACCGTTATGGCACTAAAGCAGATAACATTAAGTTATACGTTAGAAGAGTCTTCATCACCGATAAATTCACTGACATGATGCCTAATTACTTGTCTTTCATTCGGGGTATTGTTGACAGCGACGACCTACCTCTTAACGTTTCCCGAGAAAACTTGCAACAGCATAAGCTTATTAAAGTAATTAAGAAGAAACTAATTAGGAAAGTATTAGATATGATAAAGAAGATTCCAAAAGAAGAATACGATAAGTTCTGGAAGGAATACAGTACAAATATTAAATTGGGCGTAATTGAAGATGCTCAGAACCGAGCCAGACTGTCCAAGCTTCTACTTTTCCAATCTTCCACTCAGAAGAGTTCCACGACACTGACAGATTATGTCACTCGTATGAAACCCAATCAGCAGTACATCTATTATATTGCTGGCTCTTCAGAGAAAGAAGTAAAGAAATCTCCATTCGTTGAAAGATTAGACAAAAAAGGTTATGAAGTTTTATATTTAACAGAGGCTGTTGATGAATATGCTATTTCTGCCCTTCCCGAATTCGACGGCAAGAAATTCCAAAACGTGGCGAAGGAAGGCTTCTCCATTGATGAAAGTGACAAGGCCAAGGAAAGAATGGAACATTTAAAAACAACTTTCGAGCCGTTAGTGAAATGGTTGAATGATATCTTGAAGGATCACATTAGTAAAGCTCAAGTGTCTGAACGTTTAACAGACTCTCCCTGTGCTTTGGTTGCCAGTATGTTCGGTTGGACTGGGAACATGGAAAGACTTGCGATTTCTAATGCCCATCAAAAGAGCGACGACCCACAGAAAACTTATTACTTAAATCAGAAGAAGACTCTGGAGATTAACCCAAGACATCCTCTCATTAGAGAATTGTTGCGACGCGTGGAAGTAGACACTGCTGATGAGACAGCGAAAGAGATTGCTTTGATGATGTTCAGAACAGCCACTCTTCGATCTGGGTACATGCTTACAGAAACTGCTAGTTTCGCACATAGCGTGGAACAACTGATGAGAAAGACCTTGGGAATTTCTCTGGATGAAGTACCGGAAGAAGAGGAAGCACAAGAAGAGGAATCTGCTTCGACAGAAGCTGAGGGAGAATCCGAAACAGAGACTATAGATATAAATATGAGCGAAGAAGAGAAAGAAGAAGACGATAAAAAGCACGATGAGCTGTAATTGAAAATTGTAATTTTATAGCTGTATAACTGTACAATGTATAGTGACACAGTAACCAATAACGTTATGCAACTATTTTTGTTGCAATGGAAAACGAACAGTTGTAATTGTACAGAAAGAAAAGTGTTCTTTGATAGTTCTTTGCAGCATTTAAAGTGTTTTGTAATGATATCAATGCAAAGACAAATCGAAGGGTAAAATATTCTGCAAATTAAGTTCATCATCGTAATATAATTATAGTCCTATAAGTTCTATATTTGGTAACGAATTATTGTTGTAATTTATTTCATTTGATCTTCCACCTTTTTATAGTCACATAAAAGGATCACTGACTGAATAAAAATAAATATAGCATGTTTGCGATGCGAATGAATGTGTTTGTATAAAAGGATATTAAAAACTTACTGGAGTATCATTATCATTATCGTTTTGTACTTGACCGTTGCCGATTATTTTATGTAATAAATATTATCGGCGTATTTGTGATTTATTTTCTGCATCTGCCTTCCTAAGGAGCTCGATAATGTCGCGAAAACAGATTATATCCTTTTATCATTATGAGAAAACGATACTGCGGCTTAAAATTCGCTAAATATACCTGCTAATTAAAATTTTAAACTTCTTTAAATGCGTATGATACATTAGCAGGACTCTTAAAAAAAAGGAAAACATTTTATTTTATTCATTTTTTAAAAGTAATTTCTTAACCTCGTGGTATCGCACATTCGTTGATATACCTTGCAGCTAATGGATTATGTTTATGTAGTTTTTGTAATGATTCCGCTTGATTTTGTATTTTTGTAAATCGTATTTTCAAAACAATGTAAAATTATTCGTTTCCGGCGTAGTTGTCGTTTCTGCGGATGGACCAATGGGCTGCCGTATTCCTTTGGAACCGGGGCAAATAGCGTAGACATCCGAGCGCAACCGAGCGCTCATTTCCGTTTTCGAATCCGACGTCACCTACTCTGAAAGCCCGTGTGTTTTGTGTTTCTTTGGGGCCACGATGATTATCGCTAATTTAACGTAAGTATCATCACGTTTTCCGGATGAAATCACGTAGATCGGATCCAGCGGAATTTGTGCGGTGTCGTTAATATTGGTAGATTGGTCACGAAACCGTGCGAATTCCTTTGCGTAAGTTTCACACCGAATAGCAAAGAGCTCACTCGCCATGCCGGTCTATAAAGCGCTACTTCTTTTTCGGGCACGTTCAATTCTTCGCGAAATAGCGGGCAAAATTTGAACCGGTAATTTTCGTTCAATTCGCGCATCAACGGCCTTAACAAGATCAAACCTTTTGTTGGGAGATAAAGAACTTGCCGATGATATACAAATGGCCACATATAAACAAAATAAATGGCGTCGGCATACTTCTGTTCCGAATATGACAAATTTTCCATTCACGAGTGTTTGTTGATCCCTTTACCACACGTCTACGTGATGATATACGTTGAACAATATGTATTCAGTTGTATGCGATATGAATCACCTGTATTGTTACCAGAACTTATATACATCCTTTTTTCAGTTTTATTTTCTCTCACTTGTTTGTTAACAAGAAGTTTTTTTACCATAATTTCTAATGCACAGAATCTGTAATGCAATGATACTAAATGGTTTAGTACGTTTTGATGTATCACGTTTTGTGTCAGTTGTATTTTGAACGGGTTGCTATTTGAACAGCTTTGTACTTGGTTTTTGTATATTTTGTTATTGACAAATGATATTTATTTCAGGTTGAAATTATTGAAATTGAAATTAGATTTCTTCATGTCGTAAAAGTATCTAAAGCAAAACATTAAGCAAACAGTTTCATCTATAATTAACAAATAAATAAAAACTCGTAACATACGAAAGACGTAAACATTTAACTAGCAACTTCACATCACAAACTAAATTGTGATCAAAATGGGCATCCAAGATTTGCAAGTCTTTCTGGATTACAACTCTATACAAGGAGGATCTGTACCAGTTGATCTGTTAAAAATAGCACGTACCATTACTCAAAGACAGCATAATCGTATTGGCAAGGCGCAGCAGTTACATTCTGGAAAATTAAGATTAGTTCTCGATGGGGAGTGCTGTTTAGATAGATTATATGGTGGTTACTTCTCAGGTACATGTTTCCTTCTTTGTTTGTGATATTTCAATCAATGCAAACATTCATAAGTATTTTGTAACTCAGATTGGACTTGTGGAGGACAATGGAATCGAATGCTACAATTTTTGGCAGTCCTCATACAAGCAACTGAAATGTCAGGTTTGGAACTAGCCGTGTTCTTTAACGGATGTTTTGAATCTCCCCGACTTGCAGACTGGATAAAGAATCAATTGCACGTGAGATTTAATGTAAACAATGTAAGTTACTTTGTACTTGAATATATGTAAATGTTATGAAACCTATGTAATTTAAAATGATGGTCTTTACAGGTATTGAAACATATTTCAATAAAAGGTACCCCACCACCAAAAATTTGGTGGACTCCACCAGTATGTTTAAGAACCAGTCTGCGAATGGCTTTGAGACATTTAAACGTTACAGTTGTAAGTAAAATTATCTAAGATATTTCACAATATTGAATTTTATTATTGTATCGCTTATTTTTGTTTTAATAGTTATGCAGTATGGATGACCATCATCAAGAAGTAATTGCTTATTGTCGTGAAAATAACTTCAATGGCTTGATTGCTGATGATGCAGAATATGCAGCCTTTGATCCTCCACGATATTTCTCATCTGAACAGTTAAAGCTTACATACAAGGTACATATCCATCTCTATATAAACTCTACCTGTTCATTTACTAGGCATAAGCTATAATCAAATGTTTTTATTCAAGGGCTCTCTTGACACAAAGGAATACATTCTTCCTGAACTTTTAAAATCATTGAATATCCCATCTGATAGACTGTGCTTATTAGCTGCATTACTTGGAAATTATATCTTAACCGAGGAAGATTTGGCTGATTTCTACAATGAACTTAATATCAACCTGAAATACAGTAAATTGAACGTGGATGCGAATGAACGTACAATACAAAAAATCGCCAGTTTCGTTAAAGATCTTCCATCCGTTGAGTTGGACGTGGTGGCGCAAAAAGTATTCGGCATTTTGTCAGATCCAAGGTGTTCTAAACTGAGACAGTCTGTTCAATATTATATAAATGGAACCAAAGATGGGTTTTTGCATTACAAACCAGTGAAACAAAATAGAGGTAAGAAATTTCCTTTTAATTCCACACAATTATTTTCGTTACAAATTTCATTTACAAAAAAAAAACGAAACGTTCTAGTGCATAAATTGGACTCGAAACAAAATGTAGTACAAACACAGTCGAATTCAACTGAAACGCCGGCAACGGCTTCAGAAGCTGATTCCAATTTAGAAACATCCAGATTCGCGTCTGAAACTGTGGAGAGTGAACGCGAGAGTTTAAATGCGTACAAGCAAGCGACAGCGAATGCAAAATCCGCACCACAAATTGTAATAGACCCGCCCGGTATTCAGGGTCACGGAGAAAACCATAACGTTAGAGCGAAAGAAGAACAAAGTAAAATTAAAAAGCTGAATGTTAGAAATCGTGTGGTTACTGTCATTTTTCTAATCCATTAAAATATTGTTTAGGTAATGGACACGCTGTCAATGGTACTCACAATCTTCTAATTAGTTCGTCGAGTTCGAGTAGCAGTTCTTCCGCCACTTCTCCATCCCATGCGACAGCCGATTCTGCTAAGCAAGCGGAGAAGACAACTAGTGTTCCCACTACGGTGCCGGAAGTAATGCGTACCGCATCCGAGAGGCATCAGAAAGGATTGATGTCCCCTCACATTTACCAGATTCTTATCGCCGGCGAAATTAAATTACCGGTCCTCTTGGAGGACGAGAATCACCGCGAATTCCCATCTATTCATCTCATCTATAGGCCCGTGCGGCAGATGGTGTACGCGATATTGTTTAATCTTCATCACCGGATGTATTTAGCTGCTAAAAGTAAAGAAAAAGGTGGTAAGTAGAGTCGTTCTCGTACAACGGTACATTGAAACTAGTGTTGTAAAAATCGAAAAACTCAAGCTATGAGCCTCGAGTCTTCAGAGCTTGTGCTCTAAAAGTAGAAGCCTAAAAAAATTGAAATGCCTCAAAGACTAAACTTTAAATTTGAAATTTTCAATGAGATGTTAATATAGCAACAGATGGCTCGAGTCTTCAACTGTTGTTAAGCATAAAGACTCTCGAGGTTCAGTTCAAGCTTCGAAAACTCGGTTTTTAAGGTTGAGCTTTAAAGCTTCGAAGACTTGAGCTTTATTGGACTTCAAATCTTCAAGATTCAGCCTTTAAGATTGGGTTTACAAAGTCTTGAGACTTTATAAAATCTTGAAGTTTCGATGTGTCGAGTGTTTTACAACACTAACTGAAACTGTCAGATTTCGATACACTTCCGATTTGTTCAATAGATACTGAAAAAATTGAAGTCCCAGACGTTGTGATAAAAGAATGGGTATGGTCCAAATCGAATCCATACCAGACTCCGGAATCGGTGAAAGCGGAACAAATTGGTTGGGGCGTTCCAACGATTCAACGTTTGTGGTTTGGGTATGTCAGTCTTGATATCATTGTCGAAAATTTGTTGTAAACTTCTACAAGTAGACACGATAAAAATGGTAAGTTATATCCTTCAGCACTGGCATAGATGATAAACGTCGCCGATTGCGAGGATTCTTGACCTGTATGAGGTCAGATACCCCTCTCATGTTAAACACTACCTACGTACCACAACACCTGTTAGTCATGGCTTGTGTGTTACGGTAATTATTTCTTACATCTTACGAAGGTTCAAATCGACTAAATTATCTACAAGTTTTTATTAATATACTTGACTTTTTTCCAGATACATTATGTCATTCTCAGATGTGATCAAGATCCTACGTCGTCAGGAACTAGATGCTTTTATTGCGCAAGCATTTTCACCTGAACTTATGAACGCTCAGTATTTACAAGATCTTCAGGTATTCAAAATCCAAGATACAACTTCAACACTAGCACTACCACGCCCATCAAAATCACGAGTTTCAGGTTTCTTATTTTACAATTATTAATGTCATCAAAGTGTTAAATATTCGAAATGATTTTGAAAATAAATAGGCCCACTTAAATACTACAATGAATATATGAAGAAAACGAAAGAAATCTATTGTTACAATTTTTGGGAGTATTACATATTAATCATATTAAACTCTCGGTAGTTCTAGTGTTAAGTCCCTTCAGTACGTTAATACTTAGTATTATAAATTACTAACTCAATTTCCTTTTACAGCTTCCCTTAGTGACGTCTCGCGGAGTACAACTAGCTACATTATTTATGGCTGGCGTTGAAACTGCTCTATTGGCCAATGATGCTTGTGGTGCGCCAATCCCATGGTTAATGTGTTGTCCGTGGTTGTATTTCGATGGTAAATTATTCCACCATACGTTAGCCCGTGCTACGATAGCGAAAAACCTATTGGAACTCTGCAGTGGCCATATAGATCGCGTTGTGAAAGTTGAACGGATGAGGAAAGCTGTACTGGAGGGTATGAATGTTGTTTTCGCACGACCACCGATGCCTGTTGCACCAGGTATGTTATTCTTCTATGCTTAAACAGTTTCTTATAATCCGTTAAGCTTCAGAGCCTTGCATAACACAGCGGCAATGTGTTCGATTCATAAATAGAAAAGTTTCAACTCTTCGTTCAATGAACTCGATGTTTCCTTCCAAACACCTTGGCATTCCATGTGTATTTGAAATGGTATGCTTTCGGAGTGGAAGGAAAGTAAATTCAGCTGTGTTGCTTCGCAATCTTTACACCTTGCCTAGGTCTGCGAATCTCAAAGCTGATACAAACGGTTTTCTTTTCACATGCATGATAATCTATCATTTTCATTCGAGTAACTATGGACATGTTTTAGGTATTCGGGTGTCTGTACCTCAGAATATTTTAGCTGCCAGTTGCACAATTAATGACGGTTTAATGCGCGGCCGCGGAAGCGGGACAATGCCCCAACGCGGGTTAATGCGACGACCTATACCATCTCGCGGTGGTCAATTAGAAATTGCCGGAGTAGTTGTTGGTCAGTGGGGTCCTAATTACGGGCAACCAGGTCGCTTGCCCCAACCACTGCAAGGGCATCCTCGCGGACGGCTTCCACCACAGGTAAGGTGTCATATGTTTTACGTGAAATCTGTAATTTAGTAATAACTACAAAGATTTTCTATTGCAACGAGGTATGTACATTTCTCTAAATAGTAAGTATTGGGTTGATGCAAAAATTTTGACGTGTTTTGTGTGTGGTCAACTAACAAATTTTTTTAAACTAATAAGGGTACCCATAAGTAATCAATTATTTTTAATTAAAAACTAAATATAGTCATTTAATTATATTCATTATTTATTCTTTCGCATCTTCTTGGTAAATTTTCGATTCCTCTCTTGAAATAACCTGCTGGTTGCGTTAAAAAATATGTTTGGCGGTAAGTCTCGACTTCTTTGTAGTTTCGAAAATTTGTATTCCTAAAGTGATGCTCCATAGATCTAAATAAGTGATCCCGCCCAAATTGCTTTATTTTTTCTTGAGTTATTCTTGTCGAATGGGGTCTAGCGTTATCATGTTGCAATATCCGACAATAAGCGTGAAATCTAAATAGCTTGCTTATGCACCTTTCCAATTTCATGAAGGTGTTTTTGTACTGTTGACCACGTAGCTCCAAGTCTATCAGCTACTTCATGCACAGACAATTTGGGATCCAATTCTACTAGAGCTTTTAAAGCATCATTATCGAATTCATTAGGTCTTTTATTTCTAGCACCATCATTCATGTCAAAATTTTTGATAAATTTGTTAAATTAATGTTGACACCTATTGACTATATATATCACAAATTTTTGTTGTTGTGGTGCTTGCATTAAATTCTGAACGAAAATGAAACAACATACAATCTCATATATGTTCTTCAGTAGGTTGATAGTCCACCATTTTATGACAGGATAATTCTTTTGCATTATATATAAATTCACATTCAAACTTTGCAAAATATAAAAAACCTATCCGTACTAATAAATATATTTAAGTCAGCTTAAATTAACTCAGCTATCTAAAAAAAATTGATGACTTATGGATACCCCTAATATCATAATGTGTATAATACTTTTCTCTTCACACTTCTCTCTTCATTTTTACTTAGATTTGCTTTAGCCAGCGAACAGTTGAGAACTCTTTCTTCTATTCCTTATTTAAAAAATGTCAAAACTTCTGCATCAACCCCTTATTTGTTAACGAAGTGGTTCAGTAATTTCTTTGCCCAAAATTATTCTAGTCTACTAATTATCAGTTATAAATCTCGTAATGGTGTAATATAACCTATTAAGCGATATGTTTTAGGTAACGTCAATCGGTGGTCTGAAATATGGCCTGCCACGTGGCTTCACTCCTATGGGTCGGCCGACATTTCAGGCGCGTGGAAACAATCGCACGCAAATAGCAGGACGTGGAAAGAAGACCCAGATGAAGGTGGAAAATTACAATTTCCTTTCTGTTCCGTTTCTCTTTCATTCGATTTGTTTAATTCGTTAACTTCCACAAGAATTTCGATCGTTTTGTATAATAATACCTATTCTTTCGTAATGAAAGCAAATTGTATTAGAAATAATTATTAATGATTTGTTATTACAGTACTCGTGTTACAGTATTATCTAGCTATTTATGTTACTAAATACTTTTAATCAACATCAGCATTTTTAGTGTAATTATTCTCGAGCAATTTGGAAGCTCCAGTTATTGATGGCCAATTTTTTTTTTAAATTTACTTGTGGCAGCTTGTTAAACTGTGACAGAACGCCATTAACTTCGATTTTCTATTTTAGGCAACAGGTAAGAAGAAGGCCACTGTGAAAAAAGGCAAAGAATGCGAGAAGAAAGATAGCAGGGGACGAGGTAACGGCGTTGACGGAATAACCGATTACAAGTAAGTACTCTTTTTTAACCGTTTGACTGCCATGCGGTGGTTAAGGGTTAAATTCACATTCATACTTAGTCCTTATCACTTCAATCGTCAGTTTCACCGCCAAGCACGGATACATAAAAAACAATTGCAACAGTAAAATATCTATGAATTAATTTCCTGCTTTTTAGTATTATTTGATGCTTACCTAACAATCATAATTGAATTTCCTCTTTGAGATTAATAAAATTTATTCGGAGCAACTGGCAATTGTTCTATGATATTGTTGAAATGATAAGGGTTAAAGGTTAACGATGTCGAACTCGGTGGATATTTTTAATGGCTGTTATGCTCTCGCGACCAGCGATTCGATTCCGAACACGAATGCAACAAAAGACCCGCTGCCGGTGCCAGGCCAGTTCGAAGACGCCGTTGAAAATGGCAAAGGAATAGAAAAAGGGCAGGGAGACGCTTCTCTCGTCGCTTCAGTCACCGCCGAGAATTAGGTATTTATATATATATACATATATATATGTGACTTTTTATCGACTTTTAGACACTCCCGGATGTGACTTAAGACTGCAATCAAAATCTTATTATACATGTAACGGGGTGATTGTGCGGTACACGGCATTTGAACGTTCCAAGTTTTACCGGCGAAGAAGATTCAGTCGATAATTAGTTTCCTTTCACACGACCGAAGGAAGCGGGGGAAAAGAAAAAGAAACATTGTTTCCACAGTGTGGTTCGGGTATGTTCGAAGATGCAGCGAGCGACACGTTGATGAATCGCCTTAACATTTCGCACAACGGCGCAGAGAGAGACCCTTCAAATGTCCGCGCGCAGAATCACTCGATAATGTCTAAAGCTCTGATGGGGCCAAACTAATTAAACTAATATAGGAGACAAGGCGTCGGTTAACGATGCCAAGACTATGTAACAAAAACATACACAGGATAGAGACCCGTTTCCGACGTACACAAATA